TGTTTTCATAGAGTTTTGGCGACTACGTTTTCTTACGTACTCGCTGTTCTTCATGATTTTCATACGGAATCTCTTCTCTCGGTTCTCCGAGGGTAGCAATCTTATGCCATTTTACTCAGATTTTCATACGGAATTCAGCAAAAATATATTTTAGGGTAGAAGGTTAGATCTAACACGTTTTCTACCCTCGTGAATTTTCATGATTTCATCGTAAATGTTTTGTCAAGACTTCTTCGTAAATGTTTTGTCAAACATGAACGTATATGTTTTGTCAAACATGAACGTATATGTTTTGTCAAACATGAACGTATATGTTTTGTCAAACATGAACGTATATGTTTTGTCAAGACTTCATCGTAAATGTTTTGTCAAACATGAACGTACATGTTTTGTCAAAACTTCTTCGTAAATGTTTTGTCAAACATGAACGTACATGTTTTGTCAAAACTTCTTCGTAAATGTTTTGTCATGACTTCTTCGTACATGCTTTGTCAAGACTTCTTCATCGTAATGAGCGTAAATGTTTTGTCAAGACTTCTTCGTAAATGTTTTGTCAAAACTTCTTCGTAATGAGCGTAAATCAGACAAAAATAATGTTTAGGTGAAGAGGTGCGATCTCACCTGTTTTTTCACCTGTTTTCTCACATGGTCTAAAACATACAAAACTCATGAAATTTGTGCTGAATTCAGCAAAAATAATGTTTAGGTGAAGTGGTGCGATCTAACCTCCTTTCTAACCTGTTTTTTTCACAAGCGTTTTACATGGTAAGCGTTATTTTTTGACGAAGTGAACATTGACACTTCGTCAAAAAAATCCCTGAAATCATATCTTACATACAAAAAAATACAAAATAAAACTAACTTTATTTTCTGACTTTCACAAAAGACCAAAAATAAACGCTTGTGAGAAAACAGGTGAAAAAACAGGTGAGATCGCACCACTTCACCTAAACATTATTTTTGCTGAATTCAGCACAAATATAATTTAGGGTAGAAGGTTAGATCTAACCTCTTTTCTACCCCAGTTATTTTATAAGCGTTTTACATGGTAAACGTTATTTTTACATTATGACACGAAGTGAACATTGACACTTCGTCAAAAAAATCCCTGAAATCATATCTTACATACAAAATAAAAAAATAAAATGACACTTTTTCATTAGATAACTGTTATTTTTTGACGAAGTGAACATTGACACTTCGTCAAAAAAATCCCTGAAATCATATCTTACATACAAAATAAAAAAATAAAACTAACTTTATTTTCTGACTTTCACAAAAGACCAAAAATAAACGCTTTACATGTATTTTTCAGCAACTTCGTCAAATAATTTTATAGCTTTATCTATCTCATCTACTTCAAACGTTTCTTTACCTTTTATGGGAGCACCATACATTTTCTCAAACTTTTCAAGTAGTTCTGTTTCTGCAGCTCTCATATCATTAACGAACGAACACAACCTTGACTCTATTGACTGTACTGTCATATCTTTGAGTTATATTATATGTTCTTCCTATCTTATATCTCTTTGTATTGAAGTCCTTCGGTTTCTGAACGATGTAAAGTAAGCCTTCACTGCAACGTTCCGTATCGAATGAACCATATGTTATGAAGTTATATCCAACAACTGGGTCAATCCATAACAAAACTATTGGTATAAGACTTTTGTCGATGAGATATGCTGCAGTTCCATAGAATTTTACCGATATCATAAGCTCAGGATTTCTTGTCAAAATTTTCTGAGTAGAAGCATTTCTAACCCAGTCCTTGTTTTCTTTCCAGATGGAGATATAATGTCTGACAAAGAATATTTTTGTATTTCTTTGAGTATCTTACGTTTAAATCACCTATTCTAACCAATTTGGTGTCATTGTCTATCTTTCTAACTGTTTCAAACTCAATGTTTGTCATATATGTTCTTACATACAAAATAAAAAAATAAATAAAAATAAAACTAACTTTATTTTTTATTTCGGGAAAACTCATGAAATTTGGTCATTTTTCAGCAAAAATAAAGTTTAGGTGAAGTGGTGCGATCTCACATGTTTTTTCACCTCTTTTTTCACAAGCGTTTTACATGAATTGTACGATGTATATTTGAAATCCTAAACAGTTTCGTAGCTTCTATTTCTTCTGTCAGTATGTCAAAAGTTTTAACGATACCGAAAGTTTCTTTATATTTCTTCTTGACGTCAGATAGAAGGAAATCGTCAGCAGTTGGATAGTTTTTGTTCAGAAATGCTAACATGTCCATTTTATTTTCTGCTGGTTTTTCTGCTTCTTTCTTTAAGTCTGCATAGTCGTTTCTCATTCTTTCTATCTCTCTGACGGAGTAGTTATATTTCCTCATTGCTGCTTTACATTTAGAACATTGCGGGTTCATTTTTGCGTTATACATTGAAACCTTACCTGCTAAAACAACTAAAGCGTCAATGGTTTTCTTTAACTCAAAAGTTGCTGGTTTTATTTGTTTATTCCATACTTTACCTCTTCTATCTTCATCTCTTATCTGCCATACACATTCAGCAACTAACGAAACAAAGTTGTCGTAGGTCTTAAATTCTTCAGATTTATATATGTCAGAGATGTTCTTATATACCATGTCGCAATCTTTGTCCATAACCTTATGGTTGCAATGAAATCCTAGAAACTCATAGTTTACCTTTCGTATGAACTTCTTTATTTCTACTGAGTCAGTTGCTTTGACTTCTATTTCATCGAATTCAGGAATAGTGAGTTTTTGTTGTTGAATTTCAGGTAGTTTAGGCAAATGGTCAATAATGTCCTCCATTTCATAAAGATACTGTTCATTTGTTTCATCTTTCGCACTACAGTCTAAATTACATGTTAAAAGTTCTTGCTTTATCTTCTGGATTTCTGTTTCAAAAGTATATGAAGAAGGAATGAAGCTTTTCATTTCTACTAACATTGACGTAGGATTCATGACTAACGAGTTTGGTGCTGTAGTTGTTTGTATTGCTGTTGTGCCGATTGTTGACATTTTATTTTTTTATACAAAATAAAAAAAATAAAAAAAATAAAACTAACTTTATTTTTTATTTCGGGAAAATTCATGAAAATTCAAGAGGGTAGAAAACAGGTGAAAAAACAGGTGAGATCGCACTTCTTCACCTAAATTATATTTTTGGGTCCTTTACACTCATTACGAAGAAGTCTTGACAAAACATTTACGTTCATGTTTGACAAAACATTTACGATGAAATCATGACAAAACATGTACGATGAAATCATGACAAAACATTTACGTTCATGTTTGACAAAACATTTACGTTCATTACGAAGAAGTCTTGACAAAACATGTACGATGAAGTCTTGACAAAACATTTACGATGAAATCATGACAAAACATTTACGTTCATGTTTGACAAAACATTTACGTTCATTACGAAGAAGTCTTGACAAAACATGTACGATGAAGTCTTGACAAAACATTTACGATGAAATCATGACAAAACATTTACGTTCATGTTTGACAAAACATTTACGAAGAAGTCTTGACAAAACATATACGATGAAGTCTTGACAAAACATGTACGATGAAATCATGACAAAACATTTACGTTCATGTTTGACAAAACATTTACGAAGAAGTCTTGACAAAACATATACGATGAAGTCTTGACAAAACATTTACGATGAAATCATGACAAAACATTTACGTTCATGTTTGACAAAACATTTACGTTCATTACGAAGAAGTCTTGACAAAACATGTACGATGAAGTCTTGACAAAACATTTACGAAGAAGTCATGACAAAACATTTACCCGACATTCTCGTCAAATACAAAAAATGACACTTTTTCATTAGATAACTGTTATTTTTTGACGAAGTGAACATTGACACTTCGTCAAAAAAATCCCTGAAATCATATCTTACATACAAAATAAAAAAATAAAATGACACTTTTTCATTAGATAACTGTTATTTTTTGACGAAGTGAACATTGACACTTCGTCAAAAAAATCCCTGAAATCATATCTTACATACAAAAAAATACAAAATAAAACTAACTTTATTTTTTTCTATCTTAAGGAAATTCATGAAAATTCATGAGGTGAAAAAGAGGTGAAAAAACAGGTGAGATCGCACCACTTCACCTAAACATTATTTTTGTCTGATTTACACTCATTACGATGAAGAAGTCTTGACAAAACATTTACGAAGAAGTTTTGACAAAACATTTACGATGAAGTCATGACAAAACATGTACGAAGAAGTCTTGACAAAACATTTACGATGAAATCATGAAAATTCAAGAGGGTAGAAAAGAGGTTAGATCTAACCTTCTACCCTAAATTATATTTTTTGGTCCGGGAACAACTTTCTCTCAATTGGAGCTGTAGCATACTCTTTGCGTAAGCGGTTCAGACCTTCCTCGAACTCTTGGTCTCTCTTGGATTGAGATTGGAATTGTGGGGCAGGGTTTTGCATAAACATCCAAGGGTTGGGGAAGTAAGGCATAGGCTGAGGAGGGTAGTTCGGGAAGCCTTGTGGTGGGTAGTAACCTTGAGGTGGAAATTGGTAGTAAATCGGAGGTACTTGCTGGAACTGAGGTGCAGGGGCTGGTGTTTTAGGTTCCTCTGGTTTGGGAATGGACTGGGTTGGTGGTACGTCGGACATTGTTCTGAAACAGTACAAATATTGTTCTGAAGCAGTACAAATATTGTTCTGAAACAGTACAAATATTGTTCTGAAACAGTACAAATATTGTTCTGAAACAGTACAAATATTGTTCTGAAAAAGTACAAGTATTGTTCTGAAAAAGTACAAGTATTGTTCTGAAAAAGTACAAGTATTGTTCTGAAACAGAAAATTTTTCTCACAAATTGAGAGCTTTTACGGGAAATTTGTTCTGAAAAAGGACAAGTATTGTTCTGAAAAAGTACAAGTATTGTTCTGAAACAGTACAAGACTAGTTCTGAAACAGTACAAGTATTGTTCTGAAAAAGTACAAGACTAGTTCTGAAACAGAACAATGGACAACATCGAGCCATTAGATGAGGCAATTTACCTTATAGAGATAAATGAAGTTGTTAAGCAGTACTTGGGCAAGGACAAAGCCAACAAGTCCCTCGGCTTCTGGTTGTCTGGAAGAGGTGCGCTGAAAATCGAAATTGAAACCGAAATTCCAATTCAAATACCAGACGGGACAGCCTACGACGACATAAAGCAAGCAAAGAAGGAAGCCATTATAAAGTTCTTTGCCAAGCGTCCTTGGATACTACTTCCAAACAAGGAGAACCCCCTACCCCATATGAAATTGGCAATTCAGTCTCTCCTTCGCTTCTCGGGTCAACCATTCTACATAACCTGTGAAGGCGACATCCAACCAGTTCAGTAAACCTTAACGTTTAACTTCACTTTTTTATGTTTTTTGTGAAAGTGTCAAAAATAAATTGTTTTCATGAGTTTTCTACGATGTTAGAAAAAATGTTATTTTCTAATATCTTCACATTCAATACTTTTTCAGCACTTTTCCGTAGTTATATATGAAAGACAATTCGAGATAAAAGTCATAGTACAATGGAATAATATGTTGCACACCATTTGTTGTGAACCAAACTTGAAAGTCAGAGAAACTGTTACTAGGTGGTTCGTAGAATTTAGAAGCAAAGTCATAAAAGTCCTTACCAATACATAGAAAACTATTGTTGCTTGAACTGAAACTTGCATGACACATAACATTTTGAGGGTCAAACACGTTTCTATAAACTGTCAAATCTGCTGGTGGAAGTATAAATTGAAATGGACCATCTGGTGGTAATGGTTCGTTCTGGTTTAGTAACCGAAGAAATTGTGCCCAAGAACGTTTGTCTACTTTCCAAAATAAAAACTCTGTATCTCTTGGAGGGTTAATTTCAATCTTTTGAAATGAAACGGTGGAGTTCATCTTGTCATATTCTAGTTTCAGATAGTATGTTCCATTTAGTAAAGAGTCGTATTTTTCTTGAAATTCCCAATAATATTTGTTCATTTGAGTTTGAAAGTCATTTAGAGTTTTCTCAAGACTTTCGTCTGAACGAACTGTAAAGATTCTCATTTCGTCAAATTTGTCTATTAGACCATCAGAACCTTTATACTGCCCATGAAAATATACTGCGAACATAAATGCGTTAGTTCTATTTGAAAACAAAACTCTTCTAAATCCTATTGCCTTTGCATCTGAAGGACTTTGAAGCCAACGAATTGGATAGTCAAACCTGTATACTCGGGATGAAATTTCCTCATCTGAAATAGTCCTACCAGCATTTGTAAAGATATAGTCTAACGGTTTTGTATCTGCTACTTTTGTTCTTTGTTTTTCAACCTGAAGCATTTAATATATGTAAAAATATATTGTTTTAAAATGGTATGCCATTTCATATTTCTCATCTAACAAACAAGTTTCCCAACTCTGCTTTTATTCTAGCAGACTTTCTATCCATTCTATATGGGGGCATTTTTATAAAAATAAAAAAATATTTTTTCTTTACTTTACATAACCGCCTGCTGCCATAAGTCTTTGACGCCAACCCATACCAGCTAATGAAGGTTGACTTGGTTTAGTTTCCAAACTAAACTTTGGTTTTGGTTTATCTTCAGTTTTTGGTTTTTCTTCTTCTATCGGTTTTTCGTCACTTTTCGGTTTCTCTGACTTTACTTCACTTGCAGGAACAGTTGTGTCGTCAACATCTTCATAAATATCATATGCCATTTGTTTTTGTTTTCCTTTCAACTTTTTGTGTTTGTTGTAAAGTTTAGAATATTTCGACTCTAAGTCAATGAGATGTTCTATAATGAACTGTTGGTCAGTGAAGTAAACTTTTCCATCTGTTGTCTCGAAAGCTCCTTCAGACTTCAATATTTTATTTGTGAGAGTCTGTTTCTTTTTTGAGATACTTGCCGTTCCATTTTTATGAAAAGTGACTTTGTAGTTAGGGTTTGTATTTCCAGACCTGGCACTTTCTATTATTGAATTTTTCTCTTCATCTGTAAGTTCTTTGACAGGTTTTGACAATGGTTCTGAACTTTTTGTTTGTGGTGTCAAATCTACCGTTTCAACTTCTTCGGTCATTTCATCTCAGTAAAAAATTTTAGTTTGGTTTGTTTTCAACTGGTTGTTGTTGTTTTTTAAGTCGGTCTAAAACTTCCTGAGGTATAGGAAGAACTTGACAAACACGTTGTGTAACTGCTGGAAGTCGACAAATCCATCTTGAACCCATTTGTCTCAATGCTGTATTGTTCATTTCATCTCAGTAAAAAACTTTACATTCCCCACGTTTGAGGCGGTTGAGGTTGGTTATTGTTTACCCATTGTTGTGCATGGTTATATCCTCTGTTAAAGAATCTTTCACCTTGGTCCATATAGTGTCCTGCTTGGTTATAGTAGTCATTTGCTTTGTTATAATAGTTTCCTGCTTGTCTTCCTACATTGTCCATCCATCCTTGAACTTTTCCTCTTGTTTCAGGATTTGGAATAAGATTTGTTGCATCTCGTGCTACATCCCAACCTTTCTGTACAGTTTGTATAATAGGTTGTGCTTTCTCTTTAAGTATACCTAATGTACTCAAAATCTTCCTTCCAACTCCAAATACACCTCTGGCTATTGTTCCCACTGCGGGCAAAAATCTGGATGCAACTCCTGCTAATGCGCCAAATAAACCCATTTCTTATAGGATAAAAATGACGAATCCAAACAAGGACCCCTATGTTTCTAAAGCGACAAAGAAAGCACTCATGGTAAAAATCTTTAGTTCAACACCAAATGCTTGGTTTATGGATATCTTGGAAAACATTCCGAGGTATAGAGAAGATGGACCACCATACTGGCTAATATTTGTCGGTCAAAACACAAGATACTGTGAAGCCATACCATTATGGTCCAAAAATATTTTAGATGTGAAAACTGCTTTGACAATATTCGTTGACAAATACCATCCAACAAAACTGACATCTGACTGTGAAAGTTCTTTCAAATCAGATGATGTAAAAAACTATCTGCGTTCAAAAAATGTAAACCAATATTTCATTGTCGACCAAAACCATTCTGCTCTTGGTGTCATTGACGGTTGTATAAAAATGTTAAGAGACTTAAACCAACCACAAGGTGGTGAAGCAAATGAAATGTCATATGACGACAAATATAGACACTTCTCCATGGCAAAGATGAGACAAGTTTTAAATATTTACAATAGCCGTAAACAAAAAGGTTTGGGAAACCACTCCCCCGAAGAAATGAAAAATAACCCTGACTTAGAGAAAGACTATATATTTAATAATTTAGTCAAAAGAGACAAACAAGAAAGAATGCCGGGCTTCAAACTTCAGAAAGGTGACAAAGTAAAAATAGAAATACCTAAACGCGACCCATATGAAAATACTATTGACTATGACAACAATGGGAACCCGACAGGTACTCACATTCGTGTTCGTAAAAATAGAAGAAAGTATACAAGAGAATATTATGAAGTTTTAGGCAAACATGGCAAAATGTACAGACTGCAAGCAGAAGATAAAACTACTATTGTCAGACCTCGTTTCAAACTTGTCAAAGTTCAAGGTGGTATACTTTCAAAGACAGTTCCTAACAAATATAAGACAACTCCTGACGAATATGCTAAAGAAGTTGAAAATGACGACTAAGCATTTCTATACCATGCGTAAACTGTCATGTAAGGTGGCATGTATTCTTTACTTTGTCCCGTTGTTTGCGTATATCCTGAAACGCGATGTGTATGGTTTCCTCCTCCCTCAGTGTTACTCCAGTAACAATCTATAGCAAACTTAACGTTGTCTTTAACATCATATCCTTTACCTTTTATCATTGCTGACCAATCCCAATATCTATGCTTATGCCAACCTGCTTGAGATGTACTTAAATCTATGTAGTGACTGTGTGCAGGTAAATTTTCACCTGAAATCGTTTTACTTCCACCTGTTTCCTTTGAAGAGTTTGCACAATACAAAAACCGGTCGACTATTTGAGTCCAAGTTCCAAAACCCAGAACTGTTGCGGGATTTGTTGAGTTCATTGACGTATAAATAGAGCCTATAGGATATAATGTTTGAAGTATTTCTGTCTTTAATGTTTGAAGCTCTGTTTTGTCTGCTTTCTTGTCATATAAATCTTGAGCAGTGAATTTAGTATTATATTCATCCTTCATGACATAAACATCTTTACATCTAATGTTTCTCATCGTCGTTATGTCGTCATCCGATGTTAAACCTTGTGGAAAGTTAGGAGGTTTACAATATAATACATCCCCACCAGTTACGTCAACCGTTCCTTCAATACTTTCTATAGCAACAGTTGTAAAACTTGTATGTGTATGGTTCTTATTTGCTTTCTTCTCTAACTCATCGTTAACATAAGTTTTATCTGCTTTAAGGTCTAAACATCCTGAAACCCATCCTGTATCGGCTTTAGTTTTTAAAATCTTCGATGTCCATTCATGGTACCAGTCAACCCTTTCTATAATTTCTTTATCTTTTTCATCCACATATTCCTTATCTGCTTTCTTCTCTAACGCACTAGCCACACAATCCTTATCCGCTTTCTTTTCAAGGCTAACGTTTAAGTCTGTTATTTCAGATATAGAATGTATATGAGTCTTTTTAGAATATTCGTTTTCAGCTCTTGTCACTTCACTTGACATTTTATTGTCAACATATGTTTTGTCTGCTAGTTCAGGATGAGTATGTTCTTTTGTTGCATAAGCATTGTTAGCTCTTTCTTCTTCTTTTGCTATTGCATCGTCTACATATTCTTTGTCAGCTTTGTTGTCAACATCTGCTTTCAAAAGAAGTTCATTTATAGGTTTCTCGTTTAAAGTTCCTTTTGTTGGATTTATACAGACAGTATGGTTCTTATTGTCTTGAAACAGAAACTCATCTGTCATTGGGTTTAATGTCAGTTTTAAGTTTCCTTCTTTCAATGACTCAGATATCTTAGAATAGTTTGAAAAGTTTGTTGTGTTCTTATTTAGAGCTTGCATAATGAGTTGTCGGTTGTGTTGTATTTCTCTCATGGAAGCAATATCTTTCGACATTTTTATTCTAGATAAAATATGCTTCCAATAGAAAAAGAAAATTCAAGAGTTGCTACAACTAAACCATTAGATGAACTTTTTTACTAATGTCGGTCAAAAGTTTGAGACAGAGACCGTAAAGCATAAAGGCTATCGTTTTGACTACCCATTAAGATGGTTAAGAGACCCATCTGTCACAAAAGCTATTGGCTTTCGTAGAATGAAGTTCATTTCAGAAGCCATACATGGTTTCCCATTTACGGTCGGTTTTGAAGTTCGATACTATAACAAAGAAAAACGTATGTATGAGAAATTTGAACAGGGAAAACTTTT